TCACCTACAGTCTGTTCATCAGTTACACTGCATCTAAGTAACTCTGTTGTCGTGTTTATACAGAAGTAAACAACATTAGTGGCACGTTCTGAAGACGTTTTGTGAAATAGTATCGTTAACTCTGCCATCAAGCAAATCACCAAACACTGTAAATTACTATTTTTATCATAGGAATATGCAGATGTAAGCTTCACATCAGTGATGATTAACGGTCTTAGGGAATTAATATCCTCGTTGATTGAGTTTAGTAGTTAAATACGTTGCAGTAAATAAATACGAGGATGACGACACACAGGAAGATTAGATTAGATCAGTTTGGATTAGATAACATTACATCACATTAGATTATGTTATGTTTAGTTTTTTTTTCCAGCTTCCAATCAACTTTGTCACACACGGCAATAAAGTATTGATTCATTAGATCAGATTGATTTAGATGAAACTTTCTTTTTTCCTTGTCTGTGTCTGGTGAACTCAACAACACAATTTCCAATCACCTTTGTTATGACAATAAAATATGAGAATCTTCAAATTAGATTAGATTAGATTAGATTCTTCACCTCATCTCCTCGACACGTCCATCTCTCCCCTCCTCTTCATACCTCACCCCTCTTCCCTCTGCTCCTCTTCATTCTCCTCTTCATCTCTCTGCTTTACCGCATCGACTTCTTCCCCTTTACTCATACTCCCTCCCTCCTCATCTTCCTCGCCTCATCTACATCTTGAGTTTATGTCTAATTTCTTAGAGAAGTGAAATTGCTGCCTAGATCTTATTATTACCCCTCCTATCATCTCCTGCCTCTTCATTTCTTCTTCACTCGTTACCTAACATCTTCCCTCTCATCAATGTCCTCACCCCTTATGTCTTCCTTCTCATTACAACTTCCTCCCCTCCCCTCCCCTCTCCTCTTCTCTCTGGAGGACAAATAGGACTAGTTGAAAAGCCTGTCAAGTCTTTAAAAGTTCCCCTTGTCCTCTCTCCTCTGCCTCCTCTGGGACTCTCCATAAAGTGTGACAGAGTAACAGCTCCTTTTTCCTCCTCCTCTCGTCTCCTGCTGTACTGTTTAATCCTGTCAAAGGCCAGGTCGTCTCCTGTCTCCCCCTGTCTTCTTCCTCCTTCCATCTGCTCATCACCTCCTTGACACAGGGCAGAGGTTTCTTCCCTCCGCTCCTCCTCTTCTCTTTATACGTTGGCAGGGTGTAAAAATACCTCCCCTCCCTCCCACACTCCTTCCTCATCTGATGGAGCCTGAATCCATCTTAGATGACAGGGTTTACAAGTCCTCTGCGCCGTCCTCGTCTCTTCTCCATTGGTAGCGTCTTTCCTTCCTCTTTACCCTTTGTCCTCCACCTATGAAGCATCTCCATCCTCCCTCTTTCCTCCCCCCCGTCTTTCTGTCACCTTCCATCACCTCTGTAGAAACTTAGACTTTATCAAAAGCATGACAAGGTGTGAAATACCACTCACACACATCTGTCAGCCAGTGTTTGACGAGGATGAAGATATAGACACACTTTCCTGCAAACTGAGTGACTTCAACAAGGAGAAAAGCTGGAAAGAGAAATTGCAAATTAGTAAATTAGATCTTAATTTAATTAAAACTAATGACAATTCTAATAGAAGAGAGATGCAACAGTTGCTCCTCGTGAACTCACTTCACAATAACTACTACGGAGCATTAAATCAACAGTTTTTCTTGTCAAGGTTGCTAAGTGAATAAATAATGGGCTTTTGTGCTTTTGTTTGCTCAGGCAGAAGCTTATTAGACTGAACTGACTTCGAGTCTATTAATCAGTGAATTTTTAAGAAAGAGGTTGAAATGACAGCAGATAAGAGAGAAAATAAAGATTGATAAAGAAATGGTTTTGATACAAAAGGACATGTAAAGGGACAGTGTGCAGGCCGATCTTATCCTTGTTGCATTTTCAGTTTTTTACCAAATGCAGAGAGAGGGTCTGATTTAAAACTAATCTCAATTATCCAGTAATGTTGGATTCTCAGCGCACGGAGACACTTCAGTGATATTTCTCTGTGTGTATAAATGAACTGCAGAGAAGAGAGAAGTTCACCAGAGGGGGGAGGAAAAATCAGAATGATAAATTGTTCAGGGTTTGACGGGATGCAGCATCTTCAACCTCTGTCAGGTCCACTTACACACACACTTGTATTTTGTACTTGTACCCTCTTAATGTAACATTAACCATCACAACTAAAGGCCTCACTCCAACCCTTACCCTTTTAAAGGTGAGGTTTGTGTCCCCGTGCACGGTTTTAACCACAGACTGAACATTAAAATGGACGACACATCTCCAGCTTCTCTCAGGAATAAAACCAAAATATTTCACATACGAACACAACATTTGGAGCAAGAGTCTGCAAAGCTGCAATCAGAGGATTGATCCCACGGTATCATGAGTCTGAGCTGTCAATCATGAGGTTTCACCCAGTTTTATAGCCTCAAATAAGAAATTAAAACCAGACTTTAAACCTCCTAAAATGACAGACACCATCTTTGAGAAAAATGTCCATGTCCCAACCACTAATATGGAGGAGGTGGGGATTACGACCAACACTGCAGCCAGCCACCAGGGGCCGATCAAGCAATTTGGTTTCACTTTTTGGAGCCGTCTATAGCTTTTAACCTAATCTGAGCCTAAAACCAAAAACCTAACCCTGAAGTGGACTTTTAAAGATTTACAAGGATTTGAGTGTAAATGTCGTCACCTTCCAACATGTCCTCCATCTGCAAGGTCTACTCTTCAAACACACACAGGGGGAGGGTAGCTAACAAGCACACTGCCAGGTCATATTCTTCCCACATGAGGTTTGGTGCAGGCTGTTAATGGAGTTCATTAAATCACAATTACATGGTGTGTAATGGGTCGTGTTCGTACTTGTGTGTGAATCCAATTCAGTGTAAATTGGAGTTAGATGAAAGAGAACGTTAAAGGGCAAGTGACGTGTGTTTAAGTGAACATGTGTGCAGTTTGTAAAACACACTGCGATTAAAGTAGTATAAATAAAATAAACCAATTTACCACAGTCATGTCATTAGC